TCGTATGCCACACCTTCCATTGTTCATTTTTCAAAAATTATTTGCTGCCTCAACCAACGCTTTAATAGACCGCTCAATCAGTTGTCGATGCGCTATACGTGTCACACCAAGTCGAGTGAAATCGCTTCGATCAAAATCCAAAAGTTGCTTTCCGGTCACACCAGAGTCCAGAAATCCCCTACGATATTCGGTCAAATTCAACGAATCCAACCAAGCGGCCACATTTTCAGCTGTCCAATTCCAGATATCTTTCCGTTCGAATGCATCTTCTAACTGAACTTTTTTGTTTTGGTCATCAGCTTTTAGGCCATCGCCATTCAGAAATGTTCCGTTGTAATTTCGTCGCTCAACTGTAATTTAGTCAGCAGTGAATCACTTGAATAAATGGAATAATCTCTTGTAAATGTAAATGTAATCACTTGAAACTAGACAATTTAGCAAAAAGCACAACGTATTATGAATGGATGCCCCTTGAATATCATAATCATAAGCACTTCTCAATTTCTTCCCCGAACAACGACAGATATTCAAATGTTTTAAAAACCATTCGCTATCTCCAACATATAAGCTCGAACTCATTCTCTTTGTGGTTAATTATGGAATGTCACTCAAATAGTATAAGATGTCCGAAGTATTTGCAACAAAACAAAATATGATAGAAAAGAGGTGAATGCAAAGGAAGAAGTGCCGAGTGTGCTTATGGCTAACAGGGAGTGGAAGGATAGCATAGGTCAAGCGAATGAACCAAAAATAGAAACCAATCACGAGATACCACAATAACTAGTGACCACATCAAAATGCCTCATGTTTGAACGTAATTTCATCAAATGAAAAACTCTTTGCCATGTATTATTACTAACCGAAATTAATCGAAAGTATACCTAAAACTTTCTCAATCTCCGAAACCCCTCGAAAAAGTACTGAAGATTTTCTGCAACCATGCGATATTTTTCCAGACCTTCATTTAGGAACTCCCTCAGTCCTCTTCATAAATACCGTACATCTCCACAATATTCCCAATACTCTCCCAACCTATACTCCCGAATACCATTCGATAGAACTGCCAACACCAAACCACACAAAGATCTCTTACGTACAAGTTGAATCTTTGGTTGTCTGCTCGCTACTATCCGAATCGCCGCCCATACCGCTATCCGGTGTATCTTCGCTTGCGTCGTAATCAATCAGCGCACTCTTTGAAGGTAACGGGGGTAGCGGTTTTTCTCTTAGACGAGTGTCGTTCGACGAGTACGACGAGGACGTGCCGCTTAAGGTTGACAGTGATGAGGTGACACTCACCTGGAAACGACTGCTGCATGACTTGATCACAAATGTTGCATATTAAGCGTGCAACAATGCGGACACTCGATCTTGGTTTCAAAGTTCAAGCTGTGATCGCAAATTTAATCCGAAACATACGGATTTCATACGAGGCCAGCTTCCTCATGTGCTTGACTTGGCTGGGTGCTTTCGTGCAGCATAGAGAATGAAAGCAGTGACTATGTGATAAAAGAGAAAGGAAATTTAAAGATCGATGCATCCGAAAAAAGAACCAGAAAAAAAGTTGTACGCCCGTAAACCGTTATTCGAAGAAAGACACCCATAAAGATTAATCAGCAGAAGAAAGACTGTTATGAGAAGAGTCGCTATTATTATTCTTTCGCAATCGCTAAAGCAACAAGATGATTTTCATTCATAACGTAAAGATAGAAGAACGAAAAACAACCACATAAGTTATATAGCATTGAACGTGCAACTGAAGACGACTACTAGATGTTAACATAAAAATTTTTTGATGTGCAATCAACAAATGAACGGAAAACTCAAAAACGATGTGAACAAATGTGAAAACCCTGGAAATAGTAAGCTTTTTATTGGAACGTAAATGTCTAACTGAAAAAAAGAACAGATAGAAATTCCGCTGCGAATACTTGGCAAACAGAGAAAGAGAAATGAGTGGAAGATATCTACACTTATTCAGGCACTGTACCTATTACTAGAAACAAAACATGAAGAATCAAACCACCAGAAGACCCTTAGTTTGCATTGGGAACCCCTTGATTTAATCCTTATGGTCACTAAAAGTTTAAAATATAAGGGATGCGACGTTAATACTGGCTTAA